TGGTAATGGTTCTTAATGCCACTATTGACTGCTGTTCACTTTACATGGTTCAAATGTTATTCTGTTATAGTTTATTAAATATTTTATTACACTATTTGGTTCAGAATATTTTTTTTTCCTGTGTTCCTCCTCTAAAAATTATGTGCGTCTTAAGGTCAGGTGCCTCTTATGGAGCAAAAAATACGGTATTTGATTTCTTCCACCAATTTTGATTCCATCATCTCAATGTGATCCAACTTTTCTTAAGATGCATTCTGCATTTCAACAGTGAATCAAAACATATGTGTTTATTGGAGCCTTTCTGGGTTGAGGAGCATGGCCTGCACAAATTTTAATGTAATGGTTTTAAAATATGAATGTTTTACATTTTTGTCTTTTAAGATGTTTGATTTTGAACTGTTGCATCTTATGTTTTAAAATCACTCTAAACATCTCTAACTCTTGAGATCCTGTAATACAGGATGCACTAAAATGTTTTAAATAAATAAAACTAAATATGGATTTAACAGAAAAGGAAATGAAATATACTCTTTGCCCATGTGAAACCATTTTGTGCTAATATGCTCTGATAGTAGCTCATCTAGAATATGTTGCCCATCATGACAATAAAATGCCGTGGTACACACATCTCTTTTTGAACAAGCCACAGGTTTTCATGATTCATAAACATTTTAGATTACTGTAGAGCACAAGCTGTTTTTCTTCTGAAATTCTTTAATAGTCAACATATATTTGAAACATGATTTCTACTACCTCTTCCTTTTCTTAATCTGGCTTGAACATTTGGATCCAGCTTGAACATTGGAACATTTCTTGTTCTGTACATAAGATTTTTTTGTTGTAAAATCTTGAGTTATCATTTTGATTTCCTGTGAAATTAATGTGACAGGTCTATACATAGTTACTGCTATCTTTGGCATCTCCTTTCCTTGGAACCAGAATGTATATTGGAGTTTCCAGTCTGTGCTTGGTTTTCTATTTTGCTGGCATATTCTTGTTAGGATTTTGATATCTCTGTAGCTTGAAATAGCTATATTGCTATATTATCTACTGTGGATTTATTTCTTCCAATTGTTCCACAAGAGCAGGGTTTTCTTCTCTTTGTTGAACTTTAGGATTTTCCTCAAAAAAGGCTTCTATAGAATTCTGTCATTCTACTAAGCCAGGATCAGTGGTGCCTTGAGTTATGAACTTAATTCATTCAGGGATGATGATCGTAACTCAAGTTGGTAATAACTCAAAGCACCATTTCTCATAGGAATACACTGAAATCTAAAGTGGAGGCCATCCGCCGGGACCTCTGTCCTTTTTTGAACACAGTGAGTCGAGCAGAGATGTCCAGCGCTCCGTCTTACCCAGTGATTTTTGATACCTTTCAGCCTGTAACGCCCGATTCTGTGGCCAAGGCGCTTGATTGCTGCCCTGCCACCACCTCCTCCCTTGACCCTTGCCCGGCCTGGCTAATCAAAGTAGCCAGGCCTGCAACAACCGAATGGGCCACTGTAATAATCAATGAGTTTTTCCTTGAGGGCAGGTTTCCATCTGCCCTCAAGGAGACACTCTTTAGGCCCATTAGGAAGAAACCCAGTTTTGTGGCGGATGAAATTGGCAACTATAGGCCCATCGCCAATGTTTCTTTCTTAAGCAAGGTGGTCGAGAGGGTGGTGGCAGATCAGCTTCAGGCGCACTTGGATGAAACAGATGCTCTGGATCCGTTTCAGTCGGGCTTCAGGCCACGCCATGGTACAGAAATGGCATTGGTCGCCCTGTGTGATGACCTGCTGAGGCAGGCTGACAGGGACAAAGTATCTCTGCTGGTCCCCCTCGACATTTCAGTGGCATTTGATACCATTGACCACGGTATCCTCCTGGGGAGGCTCTCTGAGTTGGGAATTGGTGGCCTGGCACTGTCCTGGCTCCGTTCCTTCTTGGACGACTGCCCTCAGAGAGTATAGCTTGGGGAGAGTGTTTCGGCCCCGTAGAGTCTCAATTGTGGGGTCCCACAGGGGTCGATTATCTCCCCAATGCTGTTCAACCTCTATATGAGGCTGCTGGGAGGGGTCATCAGGGGGTGTGCAGCATTGTGCCATCAGTACGCTGATAACACTCAGCTCTACATCTCCTTTTCACCAACCGCAGGAGATGCTGTTCTGCCCCTTCAGCGCTGCCTGGGGACTGTACTGCAATGGATGCAGGAAAATGGGCTGAGGCTGAACCCGGACAAGATGGAAGTACTGAAGGTGGGCCTGGGAACCGCCCTCTCTTTTTGGGGGGGGTGACTCTTGCCGCCAAGGATGGGGTCCCTAGCTTGGGGATCTATCTGGACCCAGCGGTCACTATGGAGACGCAGGTGGCGTTGGTAGTCCATACCGCCTTTTTTCACCATGGGCGGATAGCCCAGCTGCAGTCCTATCTCGATGTTGGGGCACTCACTACCTTGGTGCATGCGCTCATAATCTCATGATTAGACCACTGTAATGCGCTCTACGTGGGCCTGCCTTTGAGGCTGTTGCGGAAACTCTAGGTGGTGCAGAATGCAGCGGCCAGACTACTTAGTGGAGTGAAAAAATACCAACACATCTCACCCACTCTGGCCACATTGCATTGGCTGCCCATTCGGTTCCGCATCGACTTCAAAGTGTTGATGCTTATGTACAAAGCCCTAAACGGTTTAGGGCCTCGATACTTGGCGGAATGCCTACTCCTACCAAGAACTACCCGTATCACTCGATCGAGTCAGGAGGTGAGGCTGAGGAGCCTGACGCTGAGGGAGGCCTGGAAGAAAAAAACAAGAAACCGGGCCTTCTCGGTGGTGGATCCTCGCCTCTGGAACAACCTACCTCCAGAGATTCGTGCGGCTCTCTCGCTTGGTATCTTTAAAAATCAACTAAAAACATGGATGTTTCGGCACACCTTCCCTCCAGTTAATTTCTGATGTTTTCCTTCCCTCCCCTTTTCTACTGCTTGTTTTCCGTTTTGTTGGATTTTGTTTATTGTTCACTACGTAATAATTTTATGTCTATCTGCGCATTTTATGTGTACTTTATGTTGTAAGCCGCCTAGAGTGGTCATAACTGGCCAGATAGACGGGATATAAATAAATAAATAATAAACAAACAAACAAATGCAATTAATCCATTCTGGATATTTTTTGGTTGTATCTCAAGGTGCTGGTTGTATCTCAAACCATTAGTTCCCATAGGAACTAATGCAAAAGTGGTTAATCTGTCCACAAGGGAGAGACTTTTTTTAACCTAAAATAACCTCTAAGGTTAAAAAAAGGACAGGAAAGGAGGGACGGAGCCTTTTTTCCCAGTCGTATCTCAAAGCGACGGTAGCAAGTCAAAGCAAAATTTTGCGACTGGAGCTGGTCGTACTCGAATTGGTCACAAGTCAAGACATTTGTTAAGTCGAGGCACCACTGTACTTTTATTGTCATAAAGTTGGTGTAACTTGCTGCAGATAGTTGCAACATACTGGAGTGCATTTCAGGTGCACAAATCGGTAGATTATCAGGTAAATGACTCAGATATGCTATAGCAAGTTGTGCACCTTTAGTTCAGTACCCAGAAGATTCTGTGATTGTTTCTATCTTTTCTTTATTTCATCCTAATAAAGATCTTACCCTGCTGCTTTTTACTATACCTCATCTTGGTTTAAATTTCCCTTTGATTTTTAGATCCCACAGAAACTCTTCTTTTTACCCTTCTAGCATTATAGTTTGTTACAATTAACATTATAATTGCTCTCTTTGTCCCTACAGGCAAGTCAATGAAACTCTGTATATAGGTGTCTGTCACCTTTTACTTTTTCTTCCCATCGGTCAGTAATAATTTGATGAGTTCCATCAGTCATCCATCTATCAGAGATTTTCTTTCATTTTTGACTAGGAATTTTAAAAAGTCCCCAAGAATATATATTGTTTTAATCTACAATTTTCATTTGAATTCACCTGAATTTAGTAATTTAAACCAGATCTGTACATGATCTTTAATTGCTTCATGAATGTTATTTAGACTTCAACATCATGATTGCTTTATTATTCGTTTTCACACAATTTTTATATTAACCGTCTGTAGTCTGTAACACAGTCCTCTCCTGGTCTTGTTTTTACAGAGAGAAAATAATTTCATCTTTCGCTTCCAACAATATTGGCCATCCAGCAATGCCCACACATACAGAGGTCTGCTTGGTTGCTCGAAATACAGTGGTGCCTCACTAAACGATTGCTTCATTTAACGACAAATTCGCTTTACAATGAGGTTTTCTGAGCAATCTTGCGCTTCATTTAACAATGTTTCCTATGGGCGATTTTTGCTTTACGATGTTAGGGACCTTGCCTCGCAAGACGATTAAAATTTAGGTCCCTGTTTTTCACTTTACGATGTTTTGACAGCTTGGTCTTGCTTCACTATATGAGTCTTTTAATGGTCTCTGTTTCGTTAGACGGCTGTCTTCGCTTGGGAAACGCATTTCACTTAACGCTGTTTCCTATGGGAATTTTCACTTTACGATGACAATCCGTTCAATGCATTTCAATGGGAAAATGTGTTTCTCAAGACGATGTTTTCGCTTAACAGCGATTTTCACGGAATGAATTAACATCGTCTTGCGGGGCACCACTGTATGTATTTGCAATTTGAAATTACCCCACTATTAAAAAGTACCCTTTTTAAAGATTCTTTCAAGATTGTTTAGCCATTGTTTTAATGATTCAATGTTAATCACTGGTTTAACAAATTGATATTAATTGTATTGAATGAGTTGATTTTTTACAATGCTGATACATTTGTGTGGGTAAGTTGGTTAGTAAAATATATTGGGCTGTGTAAGGTGGTAATGTAGCCTTGTAAGTGTTCACAAAACCTGAAGCTAAGTTGTAAGTAAATATCATGATAGAAACAAAGAAAGGTGTTGAGCTGAGTTAAACATGTAGTCAGTGAGGCCAGCATTCAATAACACTCATTTACACACACAAAAAAAGTCAGAAACACACTTACCAGGTTAACAGTGGAACTGAGTTGAGAAATTGTTTCTTGGCTTCTGACCTTAGCATTTCTAACCTTGCTTAAGGCCTGCTGGTAGGCACGTGATTGGACCTTTGAAGACAGAGATCCTAGTCTAACATAGTAACTTGGCTTCTGAGCTTCAACTTCAAATCCTTCCATTTTTGTAGCCTCTTTCTCTACACAGAAAAACAAGCCATTTCAACCAATTCTTATGCTAGAAACATACAATTTGCCACCACCAAGCTAGCAAATGCCTTCCATGTTTCTTGTTACTTCCTAGATTATGGCCTATACCCAAGATTCCCTTGTCCAACCCAGGTAACTGTGAAAGGGGGTACTGAATTTTCAAATGCCTGCTTTGCACAAGCATCCCCCATTAAATGGGCTGCCAAATTCCCATAGGAATAGTGTTGGTCAAAACATTCTCTCTTGAACAGAATTGTTGCTGCAGTTCGGGGACTACAGCTGCCTTCCACATTATACTCTTGAGGTGTTTTGAACTATGACATTCATGAGCTAGTGGTCTGGAACAATGATCCAATCTTTCTGGTTAAATAATCCAAAACATCTCTAAGGTGTCAGATTGAAGACACTTTACAAGTATGATCCTCTTAATCCCACATTAGGAAACTTGCAGCCACAAGCCAACTTTGTTCAATTGATCATTATATTGCACTATCCTGCCTATAAACAATGTTCCACTCATTACAACACAGCGCAGTCAGGTTCAATTTTCTTTACAATCACTCAACCTAAACTAAGCATTTTTTTCTGTAGTCTCTACTTCTGAAATAATAAGATTTGCATTCTGGGATCCATATTATTTCCCTATAACAGCCTAGGCATACTTGGGTTTTAAAGAAAGCTTACCTAGTTCTTCTTCTGTAAGTGGGAGGTACTGATCTACAAGAGTTTCTGATCTAGTAAGTGCAGTATCCACCCCACTGGTCACAAAAGACACCACCCGGCTTCCTAGAACAGTGTTGATGCTGCCAATTGCAACTGACTTGGTCATATCTACACTGTCCTGCATAGCTCCTTTCGTCTTGTTGACCACTCCGCTGATGGTATGTGCAACAGTATACTTGGCACCAGTCACTGTGGTTGTCACAGCATCTCTTGCACCAGCAACTGCATCCATTGCATTAGCAACTACCTGGAGGAGGAGGAGGAGGAGGAGGAGGAGGGAAAAGAGGAAGAAGTTGATGCTTCATTTGTAGCTGGAAAAATATATTTGGTATGATTTACACTACAGTGGGGTCTTGACTTGCGAATGGCCTGAGGTACGAACTTTTTGAGTTACGTACTTCTCCGTCTGCAAAAATCCATTTTGACTTGCGAATGAATTCACGTACGAACCAAAAAGGCAGGGGAAAAGGGCGGGAAATTCAAACCGTTGGTGGTGAAGAGGCTGCTTCTTTAGCTCTTTCGCACCAATGGTTTGGAAAAGGGAGGCGATGGGAAAGCCCAACCAGAGCAAGCGAAGGGCAGCGCAGCAGAGGCGGGGAGAAGGTCTTGCTCCCCAGCTGGGGAAGCCTATTAAGGAGAGACTCCTAGCCATCAGTGGGAACCCACCTCTCCCCGATATCAATGGATTTCCCCTGTCGCCGGGCCTCTTACATGCAGCCGGAAGCTGGGCTGGCCATCCCTTGCAAGCCGGGGCTATTTGCAGGCAAGTTCTCCCTGCCTTCCGTCACCGCTAAGGGGAATCTCCCGCCGCCCAGGGCCTCTTCGGCATGGCGGTAACCGATGCTGGCCAGCCCTCGCCCCTGCTGATGGCTGTAGGTGCACTGGGGTGTGCGTGGCCATGGCAAGAGGAGCAGCAGAGAAGCTGCAAAGCTGCCCAGTGGGAGGGGAAAAGGCCTGATCGGCTCCTGCCTTTGTCCCCTCCAAAGCTGCCCAATGGGCTTCTGATGCTTGCTGCAAAGACTGGGCTAAGATGTGAGGTCCAAACTCCTGCCTGTGTGTCTTTGTGCTGAAAAAATCAGCACAACATGCTTTAAAACATGTTTTAAAATTGGCTTTGTTGAAAAAAAAGATTTCAAAAGTGCTTTGCAAAGTGTTCTCTGCCTCCCCCCTCCTTTCCTGAACTTTTCTTGACCTAAGGAAAAAAGAAACAAAATATCCCCCTCTAGTGGCAGAAGGCAGAATAGCAGCTTCCCATTAGTTTCTATGGACGGAAAAGAGCAGATACGGATCAAATGGTTTTCAATGCATTCCTATGGGAAATGCACATTTGACCTGCAAACTTTTTGACTTGCGAACCGCCTTCCAACACAGATTAAGTTCGCAAGTCAAGACCCCACTGTATCTCAGAATGGATATATATACATATACATATACATATAC